CGCCACAGGATGCCCCGCCGAAAAACGGAAATTTATTTACGGCCCCCTCCCCCATCTACCGTTCGTAAAAATATCAGCAAAAAGATTTTTCACTGGCACCCAAAAATTTGCCCCGCATCTAAAATTATATTATGAGCGATGAAAAACGTCATTAATTGCGGCAGAAAGGCAACAGCAGCAGCAGAGGAGAAAAGCGAAAGGAAAAGCTGAAAATACGAGTATGTCTTTGGCATAAAATGTGAAAATATTTCTACAGCAGCAGCCAACAGTCGGCATGAATGTACAAATAGTTTTTCCTAATGGGTTCTTGTGGTTTCATTTAGCACGTCTACTCTTGAGACACTGGAAACTGTAAAGTACTGCCACTCGGGGGTCAAACTAAATAAAATATGACAAGAATCTGCAATAAATAAAGTGAGTTTGATTGTAGGGTATTTTCACCATTGGTGTGCATCTAATTGTCTTTTTATCGGTCCACTTTTTGAGGCGTCTCTCCCACTTCTCGGTGGCTGCCAGACAGCAGCTGATTGTTCCACTCGTTAGCGAGGCGTGCCAGAGAAAAATGCAAACAAAATAAAACAAAGCAAAAATCTGGGGCCTGGCCGTAAAGTCAGGCGGGCCACTTCATGCGTCCGTTTGTCTGGCGGAAAGTGGGTGGGCGGGACAGGCGGCGGAAATCATCTAATTATAACGAGAGAAACATTTGCCCTCTGCGCTCAGGCGGCTGTTAATTTTGCTCCATGGTTAGCTTTTTCTATCGACTGAGTGCCGCCAAGCTGCATTCCAATATTACGAGTACTTTTCAGCTTCTCTAACAAACAAGTAAATATAATTTCGATTGAATTGCCAATAGAACAAACAAGAAAACACAAATATAGAAAGGAGCAGCGGTTCGCTCTATATTCCCAGAGTGTAGCCGAATCGAATTTAAGGAAAAACTTCTGCTGCTACTGCAATCAGATTGAATAACACATTTTGTGCCGAAAAAATTCAATGGAAAATGCAACGAAATGCAATTCGAAGGCTCCTCCTGCTGCTGCTGCTGCCACAATTCGATATCTCTTCGATGAGGAAAACATGTGGAAAACTCTGTGTAAATCAAGTCAATTTCAATGGAGTTGAGAGAAATATGTATATATTTTTGTGCTTTATTTTTAGAGCAGACGAGAGGAGCACCATTTTCCCTTCTTTAACGATGTAAACATGAGGGGAAACATGAAGCAGGTGGAGATGTTCCATGTGCTGCAGTTGGCTTCCAAAGGCAACAGAATTAGTGGCAAAAAGTGAGGTCAGTTATGTCAAAACAGACAGCAACGGCAAGCGAAAGAAAGGCACACAAATAAAGAGATGTTCATGCTCGTATGTGTTGGCCATTAAGGGGTTATAGCAGCAGAGACCCAGAGATGGGGAGTGCTGTGCCACAATTGACTTTAAACACGCTCTTTAACCGCTGCAGCCAGGCAGAAAATGTTGAAGTTGCAACCAAATTAACATCCGCAAGAGGTGAGCGAAGGGAGGGGGGATAATGTGCGTTCAACAAAAGGTGAACAGACGGCAAGCAGGTCGCCCCGGGCTGTTTGGGTAGGGATTTAATAGAGCTCCTCTGAGGAGAATGTGGAGCAATTTTCATATGTGGTGCCTCCCAGGGCATTTATGGACACAAATTCCGCTTCAGTGAAAACTCCAATGGAAAAGCAAATTGTCTTCAAGAGAGTGTGTGTCGCATTTATTACAGTTGACCGACTTGGTTAATTCATTTAAATAACTTGGAAATATAAACCCTCGAGAATGTGGGGGAGACAGAGAAACCAGTCGAGAGATGATGCAGAGAGAGAGAGAGAGAGAGAGAGTACTTAGGAGTGATTATAATAATCTTTATGTTCTCCGCTGTATATACACTGTATCTTCCAATAAGAATCGATGTTTTACCTACAGGCAATGCCTACGTGTGTACTTTTTACGTCAAAGCTCAGCCTGGGGTACTGGCAAAGAGAGAGCGGGAGAGAGAGGCGAATGACAACCCACACATGCACACATAAACACTCACACAGAGACAGACAGAGAGACATGCAGTGGGGCAGTAGTGTCGCATCGGAAGGCAGCTCCAGTCGGAATACCAAGTGACAAACTCGCTTGGGCTGGGGCAACCAAAACACTTGGATCCGGGGATCGATCGCAACAGCTAGAAAATAAACTCGAAATATCGTTGGTTCTGACTATTGCATACGCTCTACAAATGTTATCGTTATTTTTCGTTGTATTGTTCGGGCAGAACGCGAAAGAAACACCTTAATTGCAAGCAAGTCACGTTCAATTTGGGGGGAGATTTTCGTGGGGCGTGCTGGTCCGAGTATCATGAATTATAATAATTAATCCGTGTGTAGAGGGACAGCGATTTATTATGGTTAATGGTTTAATTATATTGTCAAACATTCGGGTATCGCAAGGGCCTTGTCACCTGTCCAACCTAAAGATCCGCGTATGGCCGGGACACTCCGCCCCCTGGACATTATTTACCATTTTGACACATTTATGTTAATTTCGAACAGTAGGCTCGACGAAACGAACACGTTCGCGCTAAGGCGCATACACACACACAGCGTGTGCCACTGTATGTGTCAATTGGAGAACTTGTTAATTTGTCGAGCAGGTTCTGGAACCGCCACCTCACCTCGCGGTCCGTTGTCACGGTCTCAAGATACGTATTCCCCCTTACCAGCGACTCAATCACTCAATCAATTAGAACCAGTTCTTTGTTCGACTGTTTGTTCTGTGCAAATCGAGAGATTGGAGACCAAAAAATGGATGTAAACTTCCGTTGTTGCCCTTACTCAAATATTTCATGGGAGGAGTGTAGATTGCAGTACAGTACCGTTATTCAACTGAAGAGTAGAGAGTGAAGATAGTCTGCATAGGATTTGTGTCGTCTCGCTTTGCCCTTACTTATTGACAATTTCGCACGCTATTAACCGTTATTGATCAATTCCGGTATGTCATACCTGTCTCGCTTTTCCCACTTATTGGCATACGGCGTCACGGGAGAACGTGGAGTACTCTCTTCTTATTAGCAGTTATTTAACTATTGTTGGTTTTGGGAGCACTGTAATTGAATTAAAACTGTAGTTTCGCGAGTATTTCTTTTTTTCTTTTTGCACAACGCAACGCGTAGTGGGATGGGGAGGAGAAGAAGATGCGGTGAGACAGATGGGGTCCAAGTGGGGTCAACACATGTAAATACGATGTGGCGTTAAGGCAAAACACACACACAAAAGCACAAAGCACTAAAGTGTGTGCGTGCGTGTGTGAAAAAAAAGAGGAAGACACTCGAGTGTGGGGAGACATGAGGTGAGACAATTTGAAAGCCAGAGAATGAAAGAGAGAGAGAGAGCGGCGCAGCTGTTTTGATGAGGCATTTTTCTCCTTTCAATAATTTTGCTTTACTTGATTTCGCTTAGATTCCCTTAGTTCTTCTGCACTAGATTAGGTAACTTATGTCTATATGAACATAATTCTTAACACATTTTTACTGTCCGACGATGACACACACACACACACACACACTTATCACAAATATGTATAGTTCATACACACACACGAGCGCACGAAGGCAGGGGAGAGACACAAACACAGGCACACACTCATTTAGAGGCGGCACACAGCAAGCAGCCAACAAAATCGATATTCTAAAAATAATATAAGTAAAAAATATACACAGTTATATATATATATATACATACATATATGCGTGTGTATGCATATATAAAATCCAAAAAGCAACTCAATTGTAGCCACACTCTCGTATTTGGGGCTCGTGTGTGCGTGCAAGTGTTTGAGTGTGTAATTACATATTTATTTATTTATTAAAACTTTGGAAACACTCCGAATTGCGTCTGGAATTTCGCCGCTTATACTGCGCACTTGAAAAATTTGCATTCACCACGAAATGATTTGGTATTCTTTTGTATTTTTGTGAGTTTACTTGATTTTAAGCTATGCTGTTAAAACCGATTAAACAGATTGCGGCGCTCTACTATACGGCGGGGGGAAAGAGTGCGGACTGTGTGGAGGTATAGAAGATTTCTATATCTTTCACAAAACCGACGAACGAAGGCGGCATACGCATACGGCAAGTGAGACGATATATTTTTTCACTTCTGCCGTTCACTCTCACGCTCTCTCCCACTCTCTTTCGCTGGGCTGCTAGCTCTCTCTGCTATATGTGTGTGTATATACTATACGGGGAGAGACCGACCGACCGCACACACAGAGAAACGAGTAGTACATGAAAATATTTTTTGTATTGTTATTGTTGTACAAACTTGTTGTTGCTGCTGCTGTTGTGGCATAGTAAAAGTGGCAAAAAATGTTGTAGTGAAGATTAAGGGGGGTTGCACACACAAAGTCACATACACACACACCGACGAGTCACACACGCTTCGGTGGGGAAATGTACGCTGGCCGCACTATTGAAAAACGGAAATAGAGGATGCAGTGGCATGCCAATATACCGAGCACTCATTTTACATATTTCAACTAACGATGAAACCGGAGAAAGATTCTTTTAAAAGGCATACATTTCGTTACCACTGTGCTAGATTTCTGGGTGAGAGCGTGGTGAGTTGTTGCGCGGCGTCTCTTTTCTCTCGGTCTCTCTCTGGCGTTCGGTATATTTGGCGATTCGCAGCACGGGCATACTGCAATGGATTCCTTACCGCCGTCGCCAGTGCTCACAAGAGCGATGTATCGAGGGCGATTGCCAAACAAAGCTATCGTCATCGATTTCTCTCACGCTTACGCTCCCTCTCTTGCGCTCTCTCCCTCTCTCTATATAGCATTCCACTAGCAGAATTTTTCCTTTTTTTGTTGGCTTTTTCGCCTATGTATTTATTTTTATATAATTTAGCACAATGTTTGGGCACTCACTGCTGACCAGAATGCGATGGAGCGGTGGGACTGTGGGAGGGGGGGACACACAAAAAAAGCGCTGCAAATACACACACCTCGAAATTATCTGGATGCACACACACAATCCTTTGCGTTGGGATTTAACAGCGACTGGCGCACGCACTGGCACAATTTCAATTGTAAATCACACCGGAATTATGTATTAACGCTTTTCGTTCGGTTAACGCGGCCGGTAGTTGTATTTTATGCGAGAAATATCAATTTTTTCAGCGGCAACTAGAATCGTTCACACAGACACCCGTAGAAGTGACGCCATCTTTGATAGCGGCCTGTACACGTTCAGACAACGATTGAGTGCTGCAAAATGCACAAAGAAATATATCGATATAACTTAAAAATTAAAACAATATAATATAATATAAAATCAAATTATTCAAAATTATAAATTATAAATTAAATTGATAATTTAATTTTTATATTGATAATTACATTTTTACATTGATAACCATCATGGACAGTATATTTTCAGCATATTTTTGAGGGTCAGATGGTATTGCTTATCGATAAATCCGCGTTGCACGTGTGACTGCCGCTTGTTTTTCTGTTTTCCAAATGAAATTCCTCTAAAAACCATAAATAAAAATGGGTGCGAAGAACAAAAAGGCCAACTCGGATGCGGTTTATGCAAAGAAGACGGTCAAGTCCACCAATCCCTTTGACAATGCCACAGCGCAGTCGGCGAAGCGGCAGAACCCTTTCGATGTGCACGTGAACAAGGAGAAGTTCAAGATCTTAGGACGCATCTGCAAGCATGACAGGGGTATGCCCGGCGTGGCACGCTCCAAGGCGCTGCAGAAGCGCACACAGACGCTGGGCCAACAGTTTGCCGTGAAGCACAAAACGAACAAATTTAAGGATAACCGAATTGGCCGGCACCTGAGCGGCGACCAGCTGACGGAGTCCGTGATGAATGCTCGTTACCTGGCGGAGAAGATGTCCCAAGTGCGCACGACACAGAAGGCACAAAAGTTCAATCTCAACGACGACGAACTGCTGACGCACAGGGGACAGACGCTGGAGGAGATTGAGCAATATCGCGATGAGCGATCCGACGATGAGGAGCTGGACGATGAGGCGTTGGATGGTAAGTGGGACCAGATCCTTTGTGGTGGAATTTTCTCATTGAATCCTTTTGCCCCTTAGCTGACTTCACATCCGCTGCACATTTCGGTGGCGATGAAAACGAGACGAGCCCCCAGGATCGTCAGGCGGCCATCGATGAGATGATTGCGGAGCAAAAGCGTCGCAAGAACGAGATTGACAAGGAGAAGAATGAGGTTTACGAACTCACGGAGAAGCTGGATGCCAACTATAAGCTGCTGCTGCCGCTGGTGGCCAAGGCCACAAAGGATGAGCAGGAGGCCAAGCCACCGGCGGATGCCTACGACAAACTGCTCAAGGAAATGATCTTCGAGCCGCGTGGCAGTGTTACGGATAAGCTGATTAATCCCGCGGAGCTGGCCAAGCAGGAGGCGGAGCGTCTCGAGCGGCTGGAGAATGAGCGTTTGCGTCGCATGCGAGCGGATGGTGAGGACGATGAGGCGGAGAATGCAAAGCCCAAGCATCGCTCAGCGGATGCCTTGGACGATGGCTACTTTGTGGCTGGCGGGGAGGAGGATGACGACACATTGGCGTACGATATGGAGGGGAATTTGGGCACGCATCTGGCAAGCAAGCCGGAAACGAAGGAAGACAGCCGGGATGAAGCGGTGGAGGAGGATGGTGAGGAAGAGGAGGAGTCCGAGGACGACAGCGAAGTGTCCGAGGCGGAGAACTACAGCGATCTAAATGAGTCTGAAGCGGAGTCTGAGACAGAGCAAAGAACACAAAAGAAACCCAAAAAGGCGAAACCTCAAGCGACGACGACGCTGGATGCCAGCATACCCTTCACCATTAAGATGCCCAAAACCTACGAGGACTTCACGGAGCTGCTCTCCAGTCATGCCGCCCTGCAGCAGGCGACCATTGTGGAGCGCATCATCAAGTGCAATGACCCTAAGCTGGATGGCGTGAACCGGGAGCATGTGGTGAAGCTCTACTGCTTTCTGCTGCAGTACATCAAGGATCTGTTTGAGGATGCCAGCGAGCAGGATATACGCGGGAACTTCCAGCTGCTCTCCCACCTCATGCCACACCTGCAGAGCCTCACGCAGCTGAATCCCGAGCGCATGTCCTGCGCACTGCTGGACGTGCTCAAGGAGAAGTTCGGGGAGTACCAGAAGAACCCCAAGACCTACCCCACGCTGGACACGCTCATCTACTTCAAGCTCGTCTCGAATGTGTACTCCACGTCGGACTTTCGGCATCCCGTGGCCACGCCCACGTACGTCTTCATGGAGCACATTCTGGCCAGGGCGCGGGTGCGCACGCGGCAGGACATTGCCATGGGCCTGTTTGTGGTGGCCGTTGCCCTGGAGTTTGGCTCCAAATCGAAGCGTTTTCTGCCCGCCGTGTTCAACTTCCTCGAGGGCATCCTCTACATCTCCATAGCCAAGCGGGACGGGGACAAGCTGGAGGTAGCGCCGCCCTTCGAGCTGAATGGACCCTTCAGCAAGCTGCTGGCCATAGCCGCTACGCCAGAGAGCAAGTCGCTGGAGCAGCAGAATCTGCAAGCCGCCGATCTGGTCAATCACACACTCACGCTGGACTTTAAGGTGCGCGCTCTGGACACGACGCTGTGCCTGATCCGCGAGGCGCTGCAGCTGGTCGGGGAGCACACGGGCGCCTGCTATCTGGCGGGTCCATTCATTCCCCTGCTCGCCCGCCTGCGCCTCAAGCCGTACCCCGAGCATGTGCAGCAGCACCACAGGGAGGCCACGCAGCTCGTGCAGCAGTTGGCAGAGCAGAAAATGAAGCCCGTGGCGCTGGCAGAGCGCAAACCCAAGGCGCTGCGCATGCTGGAGCCCCGCTTCGAGACGGTCTACGATGACAAGCGGCGCCCGAAGATGTCCAAGGAGAAGGAGGAGCGCGCCAAGCTGCTGCACAAGATCAAGCGGGAGAAGAAGGGCGCCATCAGGGAGATACGACGGGACACAGCGTTCGTGCAGGAGCTCAAGCTCAAGCAGCAGCTGCAGAGGTTTGTCCATACAATTTCTCCCCTCTGCTGCAGTTTCCGTAAACATTTTTCTTTGCTTTCCACAGCGACAAGGAGCGGCATGAGAAGGTCAAGCGCATCTACCAGGAGGCCTCCATGCAGCAGGGCGAACTCAACGAGCTGGCACGCTCGAAGAAGCGCAAAAAGTAGGGGAGCGACCTTCAATTGTTGTTGTACAGAATCAATGCGAAATTTTATATTAGCCTATAAATAATATATAAACGAAAACAAATCAAATCTACGTCTGCTGTCCGGAGATCTGTCTGCAGCGCAGCGTCGCCTGCTCCACGGCGCCCGCAACGGCTGCGCGGAAGCCTAGAAAAAGCAACAGAGACTTGGTTGAGCTTTGCTTCAGCGATAAGCGGCAGACCGACGTCACTTGGACACTTACCCGATAGCTCGAGCTGTCTGAGCGCCGCTGCCGTTGAGCCCCCGGGGCTGGTGACGCTGTCCTTCAGCTGCCCGGGATGCATGCCGCTATCCCGCACCATGTGCCCCGCGCCCAGGACTGTCTGCGCGGCCAAACGATAGGCCAGATCTCGCGGCATGCCCATGTGCACGGCGCCGTCGGCCAGCGCTTCGATCATCACGAACACATAAGCGGGACCGCTGCCACTCAGCGCGGTGACCGTGTCCAGCTGGGACTCGGCCACGGGCTCGCAGGTGCCCACCGATTCGAGGAGACGCTGCGTGAGCTGTGCATCGGCATCGCTGGCCTGACTGCCGCGCACGTACACGGAGCAGCCGGAGCGCACGACAGCCGGAATGTTGGGCATGACGCGGATGACACGAGACTGTGGGGAGAGGCTGGACTCGATGGTCTGCAGCGTGATGCCCATGGCAACGGACAGGAAGAGCTTGCCGGCGCTGAGGGACTTTATTTCCTGCAGCACAGCGGGCACCACCTGCGGCTTGACCGAGACAAAGACAACCTCCGCTTGCTCCACCACGGGCGCATTCTGCACGACAGTTTCCACGCCCAGCGACTCGAAGCCCTGCAGGGAAATCTTATCCGCGGGATGGACACTGGCAATCATGCCGCTGGGCTTGGCCAGACCTGCGGAGGAGCAGAATTGATGCAAAAATCGCAGCAAGTGATGAAATTCCTCACTCACCTGCAGAGAGAAAACCCTTGGCCAGCGCCTTTGCCATGTTGCCGCCGCCGAGGAAACCGATTTTGCCGATCGTTGCCATTTTCAGAACTAAATTCTCGGATGGACTGCACTTTGCGCCTTTGGAGCAACAACTGAGAGCGCGTTGCCCCTGAGGCGTTAACAAAAACAAGTCGTTGGGGGATTGATAAGGCAATCAGCTACCCCCATTCCAGATTCCACTCTCTGGAAGTGCAAACAACAAATCATTGGATCGCCGCCTTATCGGGGGGTTTGAGTTTGTGCCCCTCCCCCCTCCCATGTGTGCGTGTGTTTTGCGTTTTATCAGCTGAAAGACCAACTGCCAGAGATTAGACGAGCGTTTTCACCCGTTTGCTAGTGTGACGAAGTCGCGGCCATTCTGCAAAACAGATGTTTTACGCTCTAATTTGGGGGCATTCCGAAATTAGTTAAATAAATTCTATTCATTTTCAAACATTTACCGCCAATTACCGCAAAGTGCGATAACCGAACCGGTATTAGTCGAAAAATATGCAACACGTGCTTCCCAACACTGTACAATTTTAAATTATCCGATTTAACACAATTATTTAAGATAAAATTAAGGAGAAATTTGCAACAGCAAAATGGAAAAATTCGTTACAATCTTTTGCGGACGAACCAAGATATTGAAAAACCTTTTGTTTTATAATACAAAAAGAACAAAGGAAATGAATTAGGAGATAATTTCCCTTACCATCTTATGAAAAATTGAAATACATATTGTTAAATATAGGGTCATAAGGTATACTCCAATACAAATAAGTATTTATAATAGGCCAAATTTATTCTTAAATCGGATTAAATTATTGCTTCCGTGTTAAAAGTCGTTGAAAGCCAGCAATATCAAATAGAACATCAAAATCGAGGAATATGATTTAAGACTAAGGTATATTGACGGTATATTTTTAAAATGAGAAGGTATATATTTCGGTATGGTTCCGAGGTTCTGTCGGTATATCTTATCGATAAATTCACGGTCACACCAATAGCAAGTCAGGAGAAATTTTTTATAACAAAATAATAGAAATTAATGACCCAAAAGCGCTCAAAATCGAAAAACTCATACAAACAAATCAGTTTCTGGCATCATAAACTAACTAAGAGACGGCTGCGCAGTTTCAGGCCGCTTGAGAACCAAAATTCAGCCTCTTAATTTACGGCCCCCGTCTGTGTGTGTGTGCTGTTCTCTCACACACACATTTTCGCTAAGGCAGCAGCAGCTGTAATTCTTTGCAATTAGCAACAAAACAGAGGCGGACGGCAGCAACAACAACAGGGTATCGCATTTTCCAGCACCGAGATCGCGACGGCAACGCTGACATCAACAAGGCAAGCCCCAGCGGGACGGGACGAGCGTCGTAGTGGACTGCATGCACGGCGTAACAGTAAACAGATCCGCAGAAGCCCCCTGACGAGCCCCATTACTCGAGCACTGGAGTGGGCAGCTCTGCCGTCGTAGGCTGTAGGCTTCAGGAGGAGGGTAAGTACGCATATTGTATAATACTAACTGCATTCGATGCGAATCAATGGCAAATTTTGTTGGCGAGGGAGGGGGCCACGTGTATGTTTCGGTCTCAGTTGGCTCTTATCTACTCGTCTTTGCTTGTGTGTTTGACAACTCTAAATTTGTGTTCGACGCATCAGTTTCATTTCAGGAATATACGAATATTCTTTCAATTTATTTGGGCAGCAACATGACTTCGTCGTCGACGCCAGGCGGACGCAAACAGCCCACAGCGGTGTCGCGAATGAAACAGGATTATATGCGCTTGAAGCGCGATCCCTTGCCGTACATCACAGCCGAGCCGCTGCCCAACAACATACTGGAGTGGCATTACTGTGTCAAGGGGCCCGAGGACTCGCCGTACTACGGCGGCTACTACCACGGCACATTGCTGTTTCCCCGTGAGTTTCCCTTCAAGCCGCCATCGATCTACATGACCACACCAAACGGACGCTTCAAGACAAACACCAGACTGTGCTTGAGTATATCAGGTAGCTACACGAACAAATATCCAGCTCTGATTTCTTTAGTCATGATTTGTCCTCCTTGCAGACTTTCATCCGGACACCTGGAACCCCACATGGTGCGTGGGCACCATTCTGACTGGTCTGTTGAGCTTTATGGTGAGTGTGTGGATTGAAACGTCTCATTGGTAGCCTTAACCACTTCATATTTCCATATTCTACAGCTGGAAAGCACACCCACTTTGGGTTCCATTGAGTCATCGAACTATACCAAGCAAGTGCTTGCTCAAAAGTCGCTCGCATTTAACCTCCGCAACACAAATTTCTGTGAGCTCTTTCCCGACATTGTCGAGGAGATAAAGCAACGCCTGCAGGGCAGCCAGGCGGCCACAGCGGCTGCTGCTGCTGGCAGCGCATCCACATCGGACGCATCGAAGCACGCCAATGGCATTGCCAACGGAGGAGCTGGCCTCGCCGATCCAAATCAGCCTGCCGGTGCGGGCTACTTGCAGGATGCCGCAGATGGAATCGATGGCATCGATGGCACCAATGCCCCTGCCACTGAATTGGCCAACGGAAGGGCAGGCGCATTGCTGGACAGCCCCCGTAATTCCTATCTAAATTGGCAGTCGGTATATTCGAACCTGGTGATTGTCATCTGTTTTGCGATATTTGCCCTAATTGTTAATTACGTGATCAAAAACCTGAATCAGGAATAGAATTAACTACCCCCCACACACACTCACACAAAAACACACACACACACAGACCCCTAATCTATGTATACTTCACGTGTGAATTATAGATTAAACATTTATTTATGCCGTGTGCATATTTAATCTAGAATTACTCTAAAAGTAGTCTTCGTGAAATTCAGTACCGCTTCAGAAGTATTTACCGACGCTGCTTACCAACCCCCTACACGATACTATACCCTACCCCCGTTCCCCGCCCCCTAATCGCTATTGGTCTGAAACTATTGGCAATAACAAATAATAACATAAAAAACACCTTTTAAACTCAATTTATACAAGTATATAAATTGTTTTTGTTATGTATTCAGTACTATTAAATTATAGTTTAATGCATCATAAATGAAAGCCAGGAAAATGTTTGTAAATGAATAAATAAGAGCCGGCTACATAGCATTAGCCCGTGTACAAATTAACCATTTATCCACTCTCTCTGTTCGCTAACTTTAATTAAACCTTTAAGTAATAATTTCTGTTTAGCTCACGCCTGCTAAGCGGCTTAGATCTCGTGCAGTTGGCTATAATTCAGCCTTAGCCTCAGTCTTGGCACTAGCAAAATCCAATAATTGAAGCTTGGCTGCCCACAATGTTTCACATTTAAACCGCTTAGCACACAGCCGCCACACCACACACAAAATTATATTTTGCGGCTACTTTGTTGGGTCATCTTAAGTCGAAATTGCACACATGACGCTGCCATGATTGGAGGCTGGAGCCTTGGCGTGACTTTGTGCTGTGTTTCGTTTTGCCGAATTATGGCATACTTTGTGCCACAAATCGCCACCAATGGGATGTAAGTAGTTTAAGTAGTTTTGAGAGAGTTTTCTTTAAGAATTTTTAACCGCAAAGTTTTTACCCCTAGGGTGTAGGCAGATTTGAAAGCTAACTCTGTGGATGCTGGCACTGGGAGCTACGAAAAGATTGTGAATGAACGAGCCACTAAGCAAAGGATGGAAAGAACTTTCTTCCATCTTTTTTATCCACAAACAAAGACACTTTTTTTAGAGCCTGAGTAACAGGTATGTAAAAAATACTCCTTAAAATAAATATGCCCAGCAGCAGCTTGCTTCAAGTCTTCCCCAAAGAGTAGACCAGAAGGAGACTGGAAAAACTCCTTGGAAGTCAGCGAAAAATTGCATTTTGTTATGAAAGTTTTTGGCCAGACGTCGCCACAGCGCTGGCGAAGTCGAAGTTGAAGTTGAAGTTGATAATTCAAATAACGTAAATTTCAAGTTCAGGCCACATCATTGTCGGCATTGGGAAAGTTTGCTGCGAGACTGCGACTGCGACTGAGGCTGTGGGTGCGGCTGTGGCTGTGGCTGCCACTTGCAACTTTTCAAATTTAGTTGTTTGTTTTATGAACTTGCAACAGTTTAAGCCAATTTCGGTTGCACAAAAGAAACGTACAGACACAGAAAATGTAACATTAAATGATATTCCGAGTGCGCAGAGTGCAGAGGAGAAGAAAAAAAGCCACAACCGAAAGGAGACCAAACTCCAAACTGAAATTTTATATGAAGAGCAACGACTGCGAGTGCGACTGCACTTGTGCACTTCTTACGCTCGTATGTCCATGTCATCCTGGTTTGGCATGTGTGGCGTGGGGTGTGGTGTCCTGGGAGCAGCAGCAAAGTTGTGCTGGGACCCCGAAATATGACTCAGATAACTCGGTGGCTCTGCTCTGCTTTGCTGTGCTTTTCTTTTTGTTGAAATTTATTTTGAGTGCCCACCAAGATGGCGACATGTTTGGCCAGTGCCAGCTGTCACCGCCATATCCCCGCAAAATCCTTTCGATGCTCAGCCGGAAGCTCAGCCATTTTGTATGCAGTTTTTGCTCATTTGTTCGAAGCATTTATAAGCTGGAAGCTGCTCGTATAGTACGTAAAGAGGTCAGTCAGCAGGGTTAATGCGAGTACGTATCTGTGGAGTTCATTGTTCGGCCAGCACAAGGAATCCAATCAAATTCAATCCAGTCCCCCAACTGGCGGAGCAGCTTAAATGCCCAACAAAATGGTTACACAACATTAGTAGACAGCCATAAATGTCGATGCTTGGTAGGCCCGAGGCACCCGCGGCACTGGCTTAGCTGAGCCTGACCTCCACGAAAAAAAATAAAAGGAAAAGACAAATACGTGTAATAATAATGCGGGGGAAGTCCGGCCATGTACTTGGACTCTGTTTGAGGCATACAAGTAATGGCAAAAAAACAAAGCGAGTGCCAGGGGCCAGTGCGAGAGATAAATAAATATAAATAAATAAAAATAACAAATGCAATAATCATTAAGTACGCCTCATTGGTGGGCATGTTTTCCCTCTTATACATTTTCCGCAGGGACCGAGACCCAAGCCACATGGCTGCCGGCTGGGTCTTGGCCAGTCT